CAGTAAAGCGCGCTAGTAGTTTATATTCTGCACCAACTGAAGTCGATTGTAAATCCCAAGTGCCCCTAACATCTGGAAAATGGACCAACACGCGGGCGAAGGAGATCAGACTGCAGCTGGGAATTCACGTCGATGGCGTACTAATTCCGACTGTGAATAACCCGAAAGTTCGCAGAGTAACTTTCGATAGTCTGCTCTCCTTCTCGGCGCATACAACCGAAAATGTCAACAGAGCGCAGAGCCGCAACAAGGTCCTCAAGTCGCTAGCCGGCAGCACGTGGGGCCAAGACAAAGAAACGTTGCTGGCAACATACAAGGCAATTGGACGGTCGGTTCTAAACTACGCTGGGCCTGTGTGGACGGCGGGGACTAGTAGAACGCAGTGGTCGAAGCTACAGACCTACCAAAACACGGACAGTGACCGGGCGCCTTCTGATATCGCCACAATGTCATCTACACGACGAGGCTCAAATGCTCCCCGTTAGGGAGCATAACACAATGCTCTGCAAGCAATTCCTAGTAGGGTGTCACCGACGTGGGCACTCGAACAGACACTTACTTGCGGCGGAGCCCCGCCTAAGCACGTCAGAAGGCATCTATACGAAGTGAGGGACGAAGTCCAGAGGTTCATAAAGCAACCTCTGGATCCGACAGCATACCGACAGGCCATAAACGGCATTCATAGGGTATCAGTATTGACCTACACTGACTCTAGACCCTTGAATGCCGTTTTGGAAACACAACCACCTGACGTGGATGAGACAGAGCTTCGTCTGGAGGGTTCGACCACAATAGCCTAAACTCGTACCTGAAAAGATTAGATGCAGATGTGCCCAACGAGTGCCCGGCATGCGGAGAGACACCCTACGACTCGAGACATCACTTCGCATGCCAACTAAACGCCACTCAGCTAACGTATCTGCCCCTATGGACCAACACCATAGAAACTGCACGCTGCCTGGGTCTCCTGTTAGTTGAGCTTGACGACAACGATTTAGGAGCAAGCCCATCTTAGCGGAGTTGTGTAGCCGCTACAACAACAACAACAAAGTAACAGTACGCGAACTCTGCAAAATTAACAACTGAAATGCTGGCATCACCCCAGAAGAGCCAGTTGGCTGCGAAACAGAGTTAGTTCCTTTACCCACTCGGCGCAACATGAGGACCTTGCTGCCCTTACTTTTGTGAGTAAAACGTCGTCGCACAGTGGTCCAAAACCGGAATTTACTGTTCAAAACCGTCCAGAGCCTTCATTTTTCAAACCGATTTGAAGTAATTTTTTTTTTTTTTTATGTAGAAAGCCTATTTGTTTATTAAATTTTTAGCGCTAGGTACAAGGCAAGTAGGAAATCCGTTCTGTTAATAAATGTACCATAATAAAGACTAGTTCAAAAAAATTGTAGGGTTCCCTCAAAATGAAAAAAATAACAAGAAAAGTTTGAAATGTTATAAAAAAAACTTGCAACAAAAATTATTTCCATTTTTTTAAACTTTAGGTATGCAATTTTATAGGTCACTAAATTTTATATAGTATAAGTAGAAGTTTCGAGTGGCTAAGAATTCGCGTTGGTTTTTAATAACGGTGCTAGGAATTTTATTCCATATACATACATACATAAAGTGAGCTGGAATAAAGCTGCATAACTTAAATTTATCTATAAATTTAAAAAAAATTTTGGAGAAATCCTAGTTGTTTTCAAATAGTCTTTACTATCTAAAAGCATAAACAGACGGCAGCGTTGATCCGGATCAACTCGGGAATTAACTGCAGTTGATCCGGATAAGACTCTCGTGAAGCAACAACGCGCTTTACCGCTAGATCAAAAACTCTAGTCCTCTCTAACGAAGCGAAGGAAGAAGGTTGACTAAGAAGAATCATAAAGTGTCCTCTCCTTCCTATTATCAGTGGCAAAAAGCGTAAATAAGCAATTTCGCATGCAATACAAATACAAATAGCAAATAAAACCATTCAACTTCTATTAGAATTAATCTTTTTGTAGGAATTAATGCGACAGATAGCGAGACAGTCTAGTCTCACTTTGATATTTAAAAAAAAGGTATTAGCTATTTTGAAATTAAATTTATTTCTTGGGTAGAGGTTTTTAATCGTTATATTTTCTTCAAATAAAGTAAATACCTACGCTGGAAAGCTTTGAAGGCAACTTAAAAGCGAATTGTTCGTGGAAACGAGCTATAAAAATGCATATGTATACAGTGGGGAGCAAAAGTGTCAAAATTGATATTATTTTAAATGTTAACGTGTTTTTCATATTAAAACTTTTCGTTGATGTTTGATTAAAATATTTTAGCTTTAATCAAAGTTTTAACCCAAAGAAATAAATGTAAAAAATTCTTAACATGTATGTATATTATGAAAATTTGCGCAGATTTAATGCATGTACTTTTGTTTGAAAATAATCATTTTATTCCATAAAATATGTACATACACACATATACATACGTATGTATTTATATTGAAAAACTGGAAAAGACTATCAGCAAAAAATCTTGAATCAAAGCATTTTTTAGTCTTGAAACTAGCAGTTTGGGCATACATCAAGATAACCAACCGTTCAGCTATAGAAAAACTAAAAATGCAGATTGCTAGTACTTTTTACGCTGATTTTAACTATATAAATATTATTTGCCGCAATTAAAAAGCAAAGCAGATATAAGAGGTAAAACAAAAAAATTGTGATATTTTAAAACATTAATATTTTCTAAACTGCGTAACCGATTTAAAAACTAATGATGTCAAAATAAAGACAATTAATTTATCTTCAAGCTGATATATAAAATGTGTATGCTTTTTTATATATTTAAGCCAAAAATATTATAAAACCAAAAAAATGTCATAATTTTTTCATAAAATAACCCTTTTTTAGAAAAAGTCCATAATCAATACTAAAAAAATTTATATTATTGAAAAAGTGCAAGTTCTTACCTTTGATTTGATATACTTATTATATTATGCTTTTGAGTTTTCAGAATTCAGTGATAATAAAAAATATAAATGCATGTATTTACAAATGCATATTTTAGTTAATTAAACAAGGCGAGTTAACGGACTTTTTTGGAAAGGGTACTGTTTTTGTTGGAAGCGGGAAAATTTATGCCGTTTTATATGTACATATATGTATATACTTACAGCTATTTTTAATTTGTTTGTGTTCCGGCGGAGATAAAAAACGTGTTTTGAATATTTTTTAAAAAGATGAATACTCTTAATTTATTTAAAATATTTAGAAAGGTGTTCTCTGCAAAAGGTGTTCAGCCTCACTTCTTCAGCAACACAGAAAGGAGAATTCTACTTAGTGAGGGTTATAATCACTAAGTGCGGCCGAAGGCCGCCTACGCAGAAAGAAGTTCTGGGCAAAAGAAACTATGATATCACCCACACTTGTCACTTTTGCTTGTAAATGCTTTTAATTTTTTTTATCACTAAATTCTTAAACCTCAAAAGTAGATCATAATAAAATATGCATATCAAATTAAAGGTAAGAACTTGCACTTTCTAAATAATATATATGTCTTTAGCATTGATTATGCACTTTTTTCTAAAAAAGGTTATTTTATGAAAAATTATAACATTTTATTTGTTTTTTAATATTTTTGGCTTAAATATATAAGCAAGCAAACGCATTTTATATATGAACTTAAAGATGGATTAATTGCCTTTATTTTGATATCATTACTTTTTTAATCGGTTACGTAGTTTATAAAATATAATTATTTTAAAATATAACAAAAATTTTCTTTAACCTTGCACGACATTTTGGTCAGTTTTGACTATTTTTCTTTCGTTTGTTTAATGTTTATTAATTTTTTATTAAAGTCCAGTTAATTATATATATACATACATATGTATGTAAATCCAGAGATATAAATCCACATTTTAAACTTTTGTAGAGTAATTTAAAAATCTCACAAAAACCTTTGTATTCATTTTTAGAAAAATTTAAAGTATGCACTTTTGTAGCCCATTAAATTCTAGTAATAGTTGCGTTTCAGATGCTTCACGATTTGCAGGTTTTTACAGCAAGCTGTTCCAGGTGGTCACCTTCCATAAGGTATAAAAATGGCGAAAATAGCTGTTCCTGCAAATCCTGCAAATCGTGAAGCATCTGGAACGCAACTAATAATGTGCAAGTTCCAATAGGCTAGGAATTCCTGTTGATTGTTGACAAATTGCCGTACAAAGGAAAATCTTTATTTTATCAGAAAACTGTTTTAAAAACACTGTACTGTAAAAAATTATTTTTATATTTTTTGTCGGAAAAAAGATGCGAGCGTTACCTATGTATACCTCTTCCCTCCAAAAAACGGCGCAATATAATAAACCTGCACAAATGGCTAAAAGGCTCATTGAGACGAATTATTTATTGGTATTACTTTCTGTCTTCAGCCCTTACTCACCAGATATATCTTGCCTAGTCGGAAGATGAAGATGTGATACCTTATAATACCCATTAGAGGAGAAGCTTAAACAACAATGTCGAGATCAGGCAACGACTTGACACTGACAAAGGTGCTCGCTTATCATTGCAAAAAGAAAATATATGAGAAAGGAAGAAATTCAATGCAATTACAGCTATTAAAACGCTATCAAAAATGTTATTAAGCTCCTAATGCACGATTTAAACTAATGAAATGTTAAAGCATACGTATGTAACAAAGTTAATGGTGAAGAAGACTTACCCACAAATTTAGCCATTTCTGAAATTATTAATGCGACGCGGCGGCAAACAAATAACAAACAAATTAACAAAGTCTTATTTTGCAATAATATTTTCAATTTAAATATTTTTACGACACGAAAATAGGAATAGAAGAGCAATTGCCGCCAAAAATTTAGGATGTGTACTAAATACCATCCACAACAGCTTCCGTTCCGTTCCGTGTATACGAACACTTGGCAGCACTTGAAACGTCAAAATCAGCTGGCCGCTAGTTAATGCGAAATTAGTTTAATCGCATACAAAGCCTTTATTGTATATAAAATCTTCAAATTTCAATTTCTTGTTAGCCTAAGCTATATTATAAGGCAAACGTCATAATGAGTGAACCACCTACCCCAAACACGCCTGGGAGTCAAGCACTTGTGAAACTGAAGGAACGTGACAGCACACTGCAAGACTTTAAAGTGCCTACCGCTGGGGCAGTGCGCAAGAAAACCAAACAGAAGATACTAACAGAGGAAATGTACATTGATGAGCTTTCCAAAATTATACAACGTGACTTCTTTCCACACTTGGATAAATTGCGTGCACAAAATGACTACCTCGATGCGATGGACCGCAAAGATTACGCACAAATGGAGGCCATACGTGCCAAGTATAGTGGGCGCAGGCCCACCGATCGAGGCTGTAAGTATAAGAATAAACGCTAATTAAAGTATGCATATGTACATATTAATTAACATTTTCATCCATAGCCATGTCGCCGGCCACATTTGAGACACCAGCAAGTGCAACTGGTATTATGACACCGCGTCTTGAGGGCAGTGGTGCTGCCTCGGATACACCGAAGTCAGCTATATCCAGCTGCTCGAAAGCGTCAAAAACTGGAACGGAACAAAAATCTGTAGCGGATAAGCATTCATTGGATTCTTTTCTGCAGCATTACACAAGCGAAGATAACCATAGTTTTCAAGAAATTATCGATACTGCCGATGAAAAACTACGACAAAAATTTGCTGTACTGTATAATGAAGAAAAACTGTCGGCTGATAAGTTGGCGCGGGCGTTAACGCTACCATCCATTGAAAAGCAGTTTGATGAACCAGATCCATTGCGAAAGGTTTTTTAATAACAAATAATCCCTTTGACTGTGTATTCATATTTAGCACTTAAAGGCTACTAAATCTTTTTTTTTTACAGATTGAAACATGGAGCTACACGAACAAAAACTCTATTATGTATATACCTGATGGTGTAGAACTTACTGAAAAGGAACGTGTGGAAGCTGCCAAGCAGCGGGAAATAATACAGCACAGTGCCACACGACTTAGCAGTAATCCTTTTGTTGAGCCTGCTACTCCTAAATCAAACAATGAGTTAGCTAAAAACCAATCTCAGGCGCTTATTAATAAAATTGGACTAGATGGTAATGCCATAACGCTTGGTGAGGAAGACGAGGGACCGCAGGTTCGGGGGTTTAATTTAGTGAAGACGCCATCACCACGACCAGGGGAAGCGTTTTCACCGCTCATGACATGGGGAGAAATCGAAGGTACACCCTTTCGGCTCGATGGTTCTGATACGCCAGTACGTCCTAATGTAGGACCAGCTTTCACCATCACCGAAAATTCGCGACGTGAAAACATTGCAATAGCGTTGGCAGAAAAAGTGGGTGAAAAGATGCGTGCACAGAAGCAAAGGGCGGCTGACACAGCACGTAAGAATATCAACTCGCCATTCATACGTTCGAACATGGAACGCTTGGCTTCAATGTCACCGGCCGCAAGACGTTTAGCAACCTCTAAATTAGGCATAGGCACAACACCAATTATGCCCACGCCGCAGCGGACACCTGGAGCAGTAATGCGGAGGGCCAAACCAACATCGAAAGCTATGAATTCCCGCAAAACGCCAGCGGGTAGTGCAAGCACAAGCACCTCAGCACCTAACACACCAAAACAGATCAGTAGCGGCAAGTCAACACTCACTGATGATCTATTGAAAATTCCTACGAAACGATTGCGAGCATCGGATTTCTTTTAAATGGAGTGATATTTTGGTAGATTAAGAGAAGCGAGTTTGGGTGCATTCCGAAACGTCAAAATACAAAGTATAAGTTTCTTTTATTTCAAAATTTCAGTAGATTGTAATGCCAAAATGTGGGCAACCACATTTTCAACTAGGCTGCGAAGGTTAGACTTTTTCTTCTAGTGCGGGTTGGAAAAAAAAGAAACTGATGCTTTGTATTTTGACGTTTTGGAATGCACCCTTTGTTTAGTTACTAGCGCTTATGGAAGCAGCCAAATTTTTACACAAACGCACAAAGATGTGAGTATATGTAATAGCATATTGATGGTTGCTGGTAAAATTATAATCAACTAAAAGGTATTTAGCCATAGTTTTGCTAATATGTAGTTATAACAAAAAGTTAATTTGTAGCGTAATAAAAAGTATCCATATAAAATTAAAAAAAAAACATTCGCAAATACAATAGTACATATTATGTATCTGCACAAATGCAAATTATTAATAATAATATATTAGGTTCATTCCTTATCTTTTTGGACTAAAATCTGAAAAG